GAAGGATCCACCACAGAGCTTCCATCAGTTGCTGGAAGAATTCATTTCCTTGCAGCTGCAGGTCTAGGGGCTTTAGTATCTGGCTGAAGGCTTTTCTCAGCTCCAAGAGGCTTCCCAGAGCTTTTGTTTTTACCATACAGCCACTTATTCCATGGCACCTTGCTTCTTCAAAGCCAGGGAGCGGGAATCTCTCTGGGGTGAGCTGGCTGCCAAGAAGGAATTTTATATAATATAATATAATATAATATAATATAATCATGAGTGTGTTAGCCCATAACCTTCGCCATCTTATTGATTAGAGATAAGATACATATTGTCAAGGGAGATGTTACGAAAAAATGTGGACACCAAATGCAAAAATCACAAGAACCACCTTAGAGTCTGTTCACCACATGGGGTGAGTTGTGGCTACTCCTTTTTGTCTTTCTGGCTCTAACAGGTGATTATTGATAAAACTCACACATACAATCACATATACTGTCAAAGAACAACTAATAATTTCTTGGAGACCACATGAGCTAAATTAAAGATTAATTCAATATCTCCAAATAAAAGGATTTTTCCTTAGCACCATTTAAATTTAATGGCACCCCTAGCTTCAAAGGAAAGAGTGAGAGGGCACCTAACATAATGCAAAACAGTGTGAGATCCTCTTGTTCATATTACTCTCCAACTTTGTACTTTAAATTAGTAGTGTTCTGGGCCCAGATTCAGGGCTCATTACTAAACTACCTACCTCTTCATAGCCGCACACACACACACACTCAAAACTATCTTTGGAAATGCCCTTTCTCTTTACCATCAGTTAAACTGAACTATTAGCCAAAGCCTACTCCTTTCCACTCCCTGACAGTGAAAGAAAGGACGAGAAAGGGTGTTTCCTCTTCCAGTTACATAACCAATTCCCTCTTGACTGACATCTTAAATAATCTTGATTTCCTTTTCTAAATCTATTCTCTGCTGTTATGAATGTTTTGCTATTTCAATCGATCTCAAACTGGTTTGGGAAGTAGGTGAACTTAAGGAACCAAATGAAAATAAATAACATATATATTTACAACTTCTCTGAGTTTTAAGTGCTCAGGCTGGGTAGGAATAAAGAGAGAAGCAGTTGACCAACAGTGAAAATCAATGGACTGAGATCTCAGGATGGTTAAAGAATTGCTAGAGTGTGTTACTAGAGCAAGCACAATGAAGGCTACAAGGTAGTAGTCAAAGAGAGGAAATCAAGATACTGGAAATCAAGATACTGGAAGTGAGGGCCAGGGATTTAGCTCAGTGGCTCTGCACCTGCCTCACAAGTGCAAGGTCCTGAGTTCAATCCCTGGTACAGCAAAAAAAAATACTGGAAGTGGATAGAAATCAGTAGTGACACATGTTTTGGGTTTTTTGTCTGTTTTGGTTTTGTTGTTGTTTTTATTTTTATTCTTTTCTGAAACAGGGTCTTGCTATGTAATTCAGGCTGGTGAACTCACTATATAGCCCAGGCTGGCCTCAGCTTCCTGAGTGCTAGAATTACAGGCATGTGCTATCACACCCAGCTTGATGGAGGTTTAGACATTTGTCCTTTGAGCTTTCACTGATTCCTAACTTATCATTCTTGTTGCAAATGAAGTGCCCCAAGCTTGATCAGTTTACCTTTGGTTTTACTGATGATCTTCATCTTGTTCTGGATACTGTGGTGCAGAGCCAAACTTTCTCTGGGAAGTGTCTGCAAAGAAAGTGTTTATGGGATCTTCCCAGCTAACCTTTCTGAAAAGGAGGAATTTGGATTCAAGCCTATGAGTACGCAGTCACTTTTCTCCTATAACACCATATAACGTCCCACCGCCTACGCATCCCCTCTATGGTTTGCTGGCACTTTGAAAAGGGTTAGAACCATTATCATGGTGTTAGAGGCACCTCTCATTGGGTCCCCTGAACAATTCACAAGAAAATGCCTGGAGGAAAATTAGAGCTCTCATTATGGATTGGCCTGCTGAGATAATGTTTGCAGGCATAGTTTTCTATGATTAAGTCAGAGGCACACCATGAAAAGGAGATATTTCTGTTCTTACCTCTTTGAAAGTGGCTTTTCTGTCACTAAATTATCTGTCCCAACAAATCCTCTTTGAGTTCAGTAAATTGCATCATGAGGAATTTTCTTTATTTGAAAATTATTCAGCTTAGGAGAGCACAAAAATGAAGTTATGTTACTAATTGTAATTATGCCAATAAAGTTTTCATTTCTTCAGCAAGCATAGGTACAGCATAAGACAGCCTCTGGAAATAAGACTTTTCTCTCCAAACTCTACTCTTCTCATTACCGAATAATTACTCCCTTTAAGTTCTGAGACCTCCATCTGGATTCATTTGCCCCATTACTTCTTTGAAAAGAATGACTTATTTTTATAAAAACAAATTCATGTTTTGTATCTTAAAACCATATATATATATATATAAAACCCAATATATAAAGGCAAGAAATCACCCCAAAATGCACACACTTCATGAACAACATTCTAAATACATTTCTATGCATATGTACAAATTTTTAACAATAATTTTATTGAGCTATAATTCATAAGACATGCAATTTATGTGTTCCACCTGTACAATTTAGTCTCTCTCTCTCTCTCCCTCCCTCCCTCTCTCTCTCTTTTACAGGGCATCAAAACCAGGAGTAATGGGGCCTGGGATTTATTTAGCTCAGTGGTTCCATCCCCTTGCAAGTGCAAGGTCCTGAGTTCAATCCCCAGTACCAAAAGAAAAAAAAAGGAGTAATGTTTCACTGAGATACATTCTCAGGCCCCTTTTTTATTTTTAATTTTGAGATCCTAGGTGAGACTTGAACTTGAGATCTTCCTGTCTCAGCCTCCCAAAGTAGTGAGATTATAGGCATGTGCCACCCCATCCAGCTCAATTTAGTCATTTTTACTATTTTAATAGAATTTTGCAACCATCACTGCTTTCTAATTTTAGAACATTTTCATCAATCCAAAAGGAAATCCCATGCCCATTAGCAGTCATTCTCTATTCCCTCTGTCTCCAGCCATCAGGTGATAGACATTCAGGCTGTTTGCAGTTTTTGATTATCATAAATACTACTGCTACAAACATTCATGTACAGGTTTTGGCGTAGACATATGTTTTTATTTTGCTTGACTAGATATCTGCAAGTGAAATTGCTGGGTCATAACAGTAATTCTATATTTAACATTTTTTAATCCTCTAAAATATACATAATATGAAATTAACCATTTTAGCTTAAGTGTACAATTCAGTGTCACTAAATACATTCACCATGTTGTGCAACCATCATCATCACCATCCAATGTTCAAAATTTTTCATTTTACAAAACTGAAATTCTACTTATTAAACACTCCCCACTTTTTCCTTCCCCTATTCCTTGCCATCCTCTATTCTTCTCACTGTCTCCATGAGTTTCATTATGTTTAACTGTTTTTGGTACTGGGGATGGAACTTGGGTCCTTGCGCTTGCGAGGCAGGTGGCGGAACCACTGAGCTAAATCCCTGGCCCTATGTTTAACTTTTTAAGAAGCTTCCAAACTATTTCTCAAAGTGGTCACACCATTTCACAATGCCACTAGTCATGTATGAACATTTTACTATTTCCACATCTTTTCCAGTGCTTTTTATTGTGTCTTTATTTTATTCTTCTAATGGATATGAACTTCAATTTATCTATTTTTTTCCTTTTGTTGCTTGCACTTTTGATGTCATATATAATAAACCATTTCTTTAAGAGATATACATTATAACTGCTATGGTTTAGATCTTGCACGTACCCTCAAAGCCCATGCGTTAAAGGCTTGGTCTTCAGGGTGGTATTATTGAGAGATTGCTGGTGTTACTGGTAGTGTCTAGGGGTTGGGCTTTTGGGAGTGATCCTTAGGTTGTTGGAGGTGTGCCCTTGAAGGAGATTGTAGGATCCTGGCCCCATCCTCTTTCTCTTGCTGTCTGACCTATGAGGTAAGAAGTTTTGCTCTGCCATGGCTCCTGCCACGATGAGCTGCCTTGCCACAGGCCCAAAGCAATAGAGCTGACTAATCATAGACTGGGACCTCCAAAACTGTGAGCCAGAGCTGGGCATGGTGGTACATGCTGATTATTCCAGCATCCAGGTAGGTGAGGTAAGAGGACCACAAGTTTGAGGCCAGCTTGTGCTATATAGTGTGATCCTATTGCAAAGACAAACAAAAACAATGTGGGCTAGAATAAACCACTTCTCTTTGTAAATTGATTATCTCAGGTATGTTGCTATAGGGACAGAAATCTGACACAATGACCAAGATTTATCCAAGGAATGCAAGGTGGATTTAATATGTAAAATCCAATGTAATGTATCATATCACCAGAATAAAGGACAAAAATCACATGATTATCTCAATTGATGCAGAAAAAAAATTTGACAAAATTCAATATACTTTCATGATAAAAAACTCAACAGGGCCAGGGATTTAGCTCAGTGTTTCCAGCGGCTGCTTTGCAACCACAAGGTCCTGAGTTCGATCCCCGGTCCCAAACAAACAAACAAACAACCCTCAACAAACTATGAACAGAAGGAAACTTTGTTAAATGTACACTTCAATGTCATTAAGATAGTCTTAAAGACTATGTTTGAAAATGCCACAGCTAATGGTGAAAGACTGGATACTTTCCTGCTGTGATCAGAAATTGACAGTGGTGTCCATTCTTACCATCTCTATTCGATATTATACTGAAGGTTCTGCCAGGATACTTAGGTGATTCAATGAAATAAAAGATTCCCAACTTGAACAGGAATAAGTAAGACTATTCATATATGACATAATTTTTTTTTAATTTCAAAGTACACAGGGGGGCGGGAAGTTAGTGCCTCAGAGTGGGCAAAGACAAAGACACTCTGAGTTAGCTACTATTTATTGGGTACACACAATAATTGGAGGAGTATCAGATGACTTAGGGAGCACCAGTAATCCTATGTTGATGAGGATCTTAGATTGCTGAGGATCTTATGTTGATAAGGGTGGTAAGGAGAGCATTCTTTTTTTTTTTTTTTGGTATCGGGGAACTCGGGTCCTTCTGCTTGTGCAGCAGGAGGTGAAACAACTGAGTTAAATCCTCAGCTCAAGGAAAGCATTCTTACACTAGTAGGTGGGATGAGATAGCAGGCCAATAAAGAATTTATCCTTCCCCTAGGTGAAATCTTTCTCTTTTTTTTTTTTTTAATTACTACTCGGTTCCCAAAGAACCAGAATGTCTTCAGCTGATGCACACTTGCCTTTGAGTATCACAGTATCACAGTATCATGGGACCATTGAGGCCTCAACTTGTGACTGGAGGCAAAACAGAGTTATGTTTCCACATGCCATAACTGGCTCTCCAGTAATGGGCCTTAGACAGCTATAGTCATACTTTAGTTATGGAAAGATTTTTCCCAAAAAATTTATGTAGAATGACTCTTGACAGATTCCCCTTTCTTCTTATTTGCTTGTAGAAGTTGGATCATTGTGACTTGTGGTTCCAACATCTTCAGATGTCATTTGGTTTGAGCTCCTCTGCAGCAGACTAAGACAAAAGCAAGGAGACATAATCCAATTACTACTACCACAGCAACATAAAACCAGAAATGAGCCTTGAGATAATTAATAGGATTAACCTGATCAAGTGTATCAGAAAATTTATCCCAGTTTTGAATCTGGTCATCAAAATTAGAAGTCTTTTGGACCTAGATAAAACTTCTTTTTGGAGGGCATCTAGATCTATAGCTATATTTTTGTGTGTTGCTCCTTGTACATGCTTTTTAACATGTTCCCATGGGTGGCTAGACCAATTATAAGTAAAGGAGTAATGCAAAATCAAGTAATATTATAATGACATTTGAGGCCTTGTTGCAGTTGTAAACTTTCAATTTGATCTCCCATCCAGAGAACAGTAGTCTCAAGCACACTTATTTGAGATTGCAGCCTAGCATCTGTAGAATGTTGTATTTTCCAGGCTTCATCAGCAGTCTTAGTTCAATGAACTGTTAGAATGAAGTGGGCCCAGGCCACAGAGAAAATAGCTATACTTGAAATCAGTAACATTAAAGAGACTATGCCAGCAATGATCACCCCCAGAATTCTCTTTGTTCTATGTCCAAGACAATCAAGCAAGACTTGTAACAAATGAGCAGTAGGTGTATATGACCACGAGTCAGTTAAATTAACAGGAACCCATACTCCCGGCATACACCCCAGGATCATTAGAGTCTTCTTCTGTACAAATCTGAAGGGAATACAATGACCTAAGGTACATTTTTGACAGATAAACGTATTAGTAACCCACTGTTTATTCCCATACATGAAAACATACGGGTTATAGATACATATGGAAGCTCAAACAGGCCAATAGTACTCTGTTAACAATATACTATTGCCAGAGTCTGATTTTAGATAATTACTAGTCCATCAGCTTCCTTCAATATAGGGAAAAGCCAATTTCCATATTTTGGGGGGCAGGCCTAAGTTTTCCATAATGTAAAACCTGAGGAGAAGGCCTATTAAAACTTTCTTCTATACAACTTATTCCCTTAGTAAGGACAGATTTTTAAACTACATTATCAAGGTTAGTCCAGTTTAATTTATACCAGTCTATATTATTGCCCTTCCTTCCCATAAAATTTCTCCATGGTCCCCAGTCAATAAATTCATATGGTCCCAATTTCCCGTATCTTCCTGTGTGGTTCCTACATTCCATGGTGGAGGTGCATCTTTATGAAATCCATTCCATGTAATATGAGCCTAACAAATCAGATATTTGTGTAGGAAGGAATCTGTTTGTTCATGAATGGACCCAGAGTTAACAACAAAGTTTTCAGGGATATGGGCCAACCAGGTCTGAGATGAGGTGACATAACAATAATTAGACTGTATGGGGGCATTTGCCATACACAGAGGAAGATAAGTAAAATGAAAATTATAATTAACAATTGCTTTATCTTTCATGTCTATAGGGATGACTGGGTACACAATTATTGTAATCAAAGGAGTTTTTTGATGTAGCTCAGTGGCACTGCGCCTGCCTGGTAAGTGCAAAGTCCTGAGTTCAATCCCTGGTACCAAAAGAAAAAAAGAGTTTTTTCTTCAGGTTACTGGGCCATAAAGAAAAACATAAGGATTATAGATTCAAATACCAGTTTGAACATTTTTGTATAACTTTAAATATAGGATCTTTCTTTCCTGTGCTGAGATCAAATCTCTACTGGTCCATACTTTACCCTGGACGAAAGGCAATCCAAGCTTCCTGGATGGCAGCCACAGCATTTTTCCATTATCTGTTAAGACACAAGCAAACTTTTTCCCCACGTTATTAATTGTATTGAGCCATTTTACCTTTTAGTTAGAACATACTTTTACAACTCTTGTGTCTAGGGCGTATCGTAGATTTGTCCTTGTACTAATGGAGTTCTGATGGAGCACATTTACTTTCCACAAGTGGGTTTAAGAATTTTAAAATGAAAGTAACAGGATGTAATTGAGCTTGTGGAGGTAGCTGTTCTCCCTCTTTCTGTTTTAGAAGTTGGGCTTTAAAATTTTGATAGGCATGTTTGACAATTGTTTGTCCTTGGGGGTTACACAGGATAAGACTGTTTGTCTTTAAAATGATATATTTTGGAATAAAAGAGCTGTATAGATTTGTTTAGAACCATCAGCAACCAAATTGATCTTAATCTTGTAAGTTATTGTGTCTGCACATGGCTGCTGGCAATTTTGGAGCATCTTTTAGCTTTGGCTGTCTGTGAGCGGCAGGCCTCACCTATGCTGGGCCCTCCCCATGCCAGCCACTGCCAGATACCCAGGGAGCCTCATTATTTCCCCAGAGGAGAATTAGTGGGAGTTCCAGAAATGTTAGAGCTATTACCCTGGCTTGTAGACATACATTGTCAGCAAAGATGTCCCATTTTACAACTAAAATATTTAACATTTTTAGCATTATTATTTTTACCTTGTTTGTTAAGGGCCAGCATAGCTTGAGCTAATACAGACCTCCTATGAGTTTCTGAACCGATATTCTAACAAGCTTTAATGTAACTGCTTAAATCTTTAGCAGATCACACGGTGGCCACAGCCTGTTTACAGTCTTGGTTAGCATCATCATAAACAAGCTGGAGAATAAGTATGTTGGCTGCTTGAGCATGAGAAATTTGTCTGTGCATGGCTTCCTGTAGTCTGGCCATGAACTGTGTGTAAGGTTCTCCTGGCCCTTGTAAGATATTACGAAAAGACTGGATAGGAGCTCCATCCTCAGGCACAATAAGCCAAGCTCTTTTCATTATATGTCCTATTTGTTCAACAGCCTCAGTGGTATACTGCAACTGTTGGGCTATGTCTGCAAATTGTCCCTTTCCCAAAAACATTTCCTCAGTTACATTAGCCCTATCACTCTATCTGTTTCTGGCAGCTTGGTCTATCAAAAGCTTCTGCCATTGTACATTAAAATGGAAGTATTGACTAGGAGACAAACAAGAATGAGCAAGATGTCTAACATCATGTGGGGTTAGATGATAAGTTTCCAGCATAGAATCCAAAATACCCAAAGTAAATGGTCCCTGAGCTCCATTATTAACAACACTTTGTTTTAATTCCTTAAGCAGTTTGAAGTCAAACACCTGGTGTTCAGGAATATACCGATTTTGGTTGTTTGGATTGGCCTAACTGTTACTGGGAAGCAACAAGGTCCAAGAACATCCCCATGCATAGCTGCTTCCTTAACTAGCTGTTGATATTTAGACATACAAGGTGAAGAATGTTTCACATTTAAGTAGCCTGGTGGTGCAGGCCAAGGAGTCTCTTTATAAGGCTCATCTGACTCTCGGTCTTCTCCAGGAGCCAGAGGAACGTTAGGTGACTTTTCCTCTTTGGAAATTTCTCTTCCTCATCCTGACTGATGACAGGAGCCTCAGGAAGGGTAGTGTTTAAAGGACCCAAAACTGATTTTTCTAGGCCCCAAGCAGAAAAGGTCTTAGGAGAGATAGGCTCTCCTCTGCCATGAGCTCTTTTAAAATTTTCACCAATCCTATCCCAATCTTTTAAATCTAAAGTTTCTGCCTGCAGAGACCAAGGATTGAATTTAACAATCTCACACACCATTTTAGTTAAGGTGCCAGTACTAACTTGAGCTCCAGCTTGTTTAAGCAGCTTATGGAAGAGTTGGATATAATTTTGTTGCTCTATAGACTGATTCTTCCCTATTATCCCAGCTACAGAAACTTTCCTGGGTGGAATCAATATGAGAAAATGAAAAAATGGAAACAAAGTCTTTGTAAATAGGGAGGGATAGAGGGGTTGAAGAGAGGGCAGGGGAAGGGGGAAAAAATAAGAATCAAGAGAGATTACATAAAGGTGCAAATTTCCAATGATGAATGTCATTATATTGTACACCTAAAATGTACCAATAAAACAGAATTTTAAAAAAAAAAAGAAACTTTCCTCAAGTCAACCCCTTTACCTTTCACTTTCTCTTTAAACGTCTTCTGAGTTTGCCTGCAGAGTCCTCTCACCATCTAACACACCATGTGTCCTTTCCTCCACTAAAGTGGAACTTCCTTCTCAGGCCTGCTTCCTCCCACATCGGACACCAAATATCAGAGGGCAATCAATCTTCCAACTGCCTAGAAAGGGGGATGGTGAGGGATAAAGAAAGAAAGACAATAGAGACTTGTGTAATTTTATGCATATGGGGCTGGAGGTCAGTGCCTCAGAGTGGGCAAAGACCTGACATAATTTTGTATGTAGAAAGTACTAAAGAATCTATTTAAAAATTGCTCTAATAAACTAGTTCATCAAGGTTGTAGGCTAAAAGGTTGTAGGCTATAAGATCACTATATAAAAACCTATTGCAAGGGCCAGGGATTTAGCTCAGTGGTGCCCCTACCTGCCTCGCAAGCACAAGGTCCCAAGTTCCATCCCTGGTTCCAAAAAATAAATAAGTAAAAATCTATTGCATATCTGTACATTTGTAATGAATAGTCAAAAATGAAATTAAGAAAATAATTCCAGTTACAATAGTATTAAAAAGAATTGGGCCGGGGATTTAGCTCAGTGGTTTCGCGGCCTGCTGCACAAGCACAAGGACCTGAGTTCGATCCCCAGTACCTAAAAAAAAAAAAAAAAGAATAAAATGCCCAGGAATAAATTAAACAAGAAGTACAACATTTATACTCTAGAGCTGGGGATTTAGTATTTAGGGGATTTAGCTCAGCGGCACAGTGCTTGCGTGGCAATCACAAGGTCATGAGTGTGATCCCTGATACCAAAAAGAAAAAAAAAATTTATACTCTAAAAATAACAAAACATTTTCTAAAGAAATTAAAGATCTAAATAAATAGAAAAATATTATGTTCATGGTTTGGAAGATTTAATGTGATTAAGATGGGACTAATACCCAAATTTAACCATAGATTCAATATATATCAAAATTTCAACTGGCTTGTTTGTAGGAATTGAAAACTGCCTTAAATTTATATGGAAATTTTTGTAGCTGTTATATTTGGATAATGCTTATTTCAAGATCTTTAATAGGGGCTTATTTTAGTCACTGAGTACAACAAAAGCAAGTAAGTACAATAAATTTTAAGAATACAATTTAAGATTAATGATAAGTTTTTATGAAGTTTTAAAATTTGAACTTTTTTTTTAGACAAGATCTCCCTATGCAGTTCAGGCTGCTCTTGAACTCACTATGGAGCCTAGGCTGGCCTCAAACTCATGGTGATCCTCCTGCCTCAGCCTCCAAAGTGCTGGAATTACAGGCATGTGCCACCACACCCATCATTTTTTTAATTATTCACAAACTATGGCAAATTTGGGCAATATTTTCTTGATTTCACTATAACAGAGGAGCCAAATCAATTAGATCAATCAAGTTGTTCTAACAAGATGCAAAATATGGACAAGAAATGTTTTTACAAAAATAAGTGTACCAAAAATTAGCAAACAATGAATTACAACATTATAATATTGTTGAAACTGTATTTATCAAGTTATAATTGCTGAGTGGGCCCACAATAAAACCTCAGTGCACTTAGAGATAAATGAGTATAAGTAGCTGACTATACTCTACAACTAATTTGTAACATCCTGGACTTCAGTTGCAGAGATAATCATTTTAATCAGTTCAACCATTATTATGCTTATTTTAGGCAAGGCAGTTCTCTAGTTTATCTTTTCATTCTCATGTCCAAAGCTTATTTACACACCCACATGACCACCCTCCACATACAGCTAGGATATAATGCTAATGAATTTAAAGTGCATTCTTGGCTGAGGATGCAGCTCAGTGTTAGAACACTTGCTTGCCTAGCATGCACAAGGTCCTAGGTTCAATCTCTAGCACCATAAAATAAATAATGAAAGCATATTCTTTAACTTGTATGTCTCACAAAACATGAATTTTTTGTATATGTTTTTAAAATTATTGAGAGGGAAAGGGAGGGGGATATCAAAAGAGTTAAGATGTGTTAGTTACATATATCAGTTCCCCATGATGAATGTAATCATTATGTACTGAAACATGTATAAACTAATAGAAATTAAAATTATTGTCATTATGCTTTAGATCTCATTCTATTATGTTTTTAACTCAGCACTCTGATAATACATAGAGATGGAGATAGAGATAGAATAGAGATAGATATGCATGTATATTGCTTGGGCACGTCTGCTCTGCTGCATTGTCTTCTAGGGTGTTTATCCAGTGCATATTGTACTTATCCATTTACCTAGTGATCAAGATTGTCCCCAGATCCCTGAAAAGAGAGTTGAAATCTCCAAATATGTTCTCTTATGGATCTCCTTGAGAATTTCTTTGGGAGACATCAACAAAATGAGATTACAAACCACACATTATACTCAATGAGTTTTGCTTAAATTCTGCCAGATTGCTTGCTAGACTGTCTGTACTACTCTATACCAGTTTCAGAAAATGGAAGTCCATGATTCAAGTCTGTTCAGCCACCTGTTTTTAAAAACAAAGTTATTGGAACACAGCCACACCTATTCACTTATGTATTGTTTATGGCTGCTTTTGTACTGCAACTCCAGAGTTTAGTAGTTAGATCAGACACCATCTGGCCCAGAAAGCCAAAGATATTTACTGTCTTGTTCTTTACAGAAAATGGTCTGGGTAGTATAGTATGTATAGTATTGATTTTGTGGATTTAATTAAAACTTCTTTTGTTGTCTAGTATAATACATGATAAATTTTAAAAAACATTATGTGTACTGAAAAAAAAGAATGTATTCTCTGCTTAGTGTAGAGTTTAATATATATTTAGCAACTTTATATCATTTATGGTATTATTCAGATTTTACATATCTCTGCTTATTTTTTGTGTGTTGATCTATCAACTTGTAGTTAAAAGTTATGATTATATTGGTAATATACCTCTAGAGTTCCATCAACTTTTATTTTATATATTTTGAACCCATGTTTTTGTTGCATATATGTTTATAATGGCCGTGTGTCCTGTATGTTCTATCGTTCCTTTCCTACTATGTAACAAACCTCTTTGTTGCTTCAACATTTTTTTCTTTTTTTTTTTTTTTGGTACCGGGGATCGAACTGGGGTTCTTGCGCTTGCGCAGCAGGCGGCGAAACCACTGAACTAAATCGCTGGCCCCAAGCCTCTTTGTCTTATTATTTTTATGAACCTATTTTATTAGAGAAAAATATTGCTACTTTTTGGTTTTTTTCTATTCATTTTCAATCTATCATTTTACTTTGATTTCAGTATATCACATGTAGATAATATACTATTAGATTTTGTGTG